TGGGGGAGCAAGAGGGGGCAAGCCCGCCCCACTCCGGGGCGACCCGAAAGGCTTCTGGCGGGGACTGGGAGGGGTTTTGCAGGTGCGTCCAGGCCGGTCGGGGTGCGCATGTGGGTCCCGATCCGTCCCCTGCCTTCCCCGGAGCGGTTGGGATGCGATGCTCGCGGAGCCTCTTTGTGCGGGAGGGACGGGGTTCCCCCTTTCTACAGCCACCCCCACCCCTCTCGTTTCTCGCTCCCCCTCTTCCTTTCTCGAGGGCTGCCTCCTCCCTTCCCCACCGTGGATTTTGGTGCTATGCAGACCTGGGAGTCTCTTTGCAGAGGCTGTGGCGAGATCCTCCGCGAAAAGCGGCATGGGATCGCAGTGGGCTTTCGTCCAGACTTCACCTCCCCTTGCAGGTGGAGGGAGCCCCACAGGGATCACCCGCCCACCATTGCCGCCACCCACACGATTTCATTTCAAAGTGCCGGGGGGTGGGTGGGATGGAAGAATTAAAAACAACCCCAGAAGGAGTTTGGGTTATGTCCATTTCATTTTATTTTATATGTTCGTTCCGTGTTGTAGAACCGATGTGATTTCTAGCCTTGTTTATCTGCTTTAAAAAAGATGAAGAAAAGACAAGGTACTTCTGCAGCGTAGCCCGGGGTGGACAAAGAGGTTCTTAGCCTTCAATACTTTTGAAGGTGAATGCTGACAATGGTCAGTGATTTACTAACAAGATCAATTGCTAGCAGGCCTTTTTCCTGCTGTCTTTACTCTGTCAAGGAAGCCCCCCCCCTTGTGTAAGAAGAAGCTTGCAGCTTTTAGATTCCAGAAATGAACACATATTACAAGATATGTCTATCCTTTCGGCTTTTTTTTTTAGGGGAAACTGTTTTGGGAAGGCAAAGATATACAGGCAATCCAGGTGGGCTAAGGAAGTATTTTACATATATATTTCCATTTAAAAGGTTACCAACACTGAGTTGAAGTAATTTTAGTCATTATTATTTGTTAAAAATAAGGGTTTTGTTTTTTTTAAATCCAAACTTGGACAGAAACTGTTCCAAACTGTTTGTCTTGGTAGGCAGAACTGAGAGATGGAGAGGGTTGCAGCCCCCCCCAAATGATTCTCTCATTTCTGCCTCTCTCTCTTCCCACTTCTTGGATAAACAGGGTGATCCACGCACTACACTTAATCTGAATGCTAAAACCACATCCACATCACTTTAATGACATTGCATTAATGGGCGTAAACTGCTTCTCAGCTTGATCCTGTATGGAGTTTGGTGTGCCTCCCTGTGCATAGATCTGGGTTTCTTTATTTACTAATTACGAGGATTTATATCTCACCTTTTAGATTGTCTTAGAAAAGCAGTACTTAAGGTCTACAACTGGAAGTACGCTGTCTTACAAGGCTTGTGGTCACCAGATGGAAGAGGAGGACAGTGTCTGTACTTTTAACTGTTACACAGAACAGAAAATTGCAGCAGGTTGAGTTTCTACCACCCCTGCATGGCAAGCTGTCCAGATTCTGTCTTTTACAGCATTCTTAAAGAGACAGGGACCCTTGTACTTACATTTTTACGAGGCTAGTGCAGTGTTAAGTGTTCACAAGACTGTAATGACCCAGTTCTTTCCTTCCCTTCCTTCACTTTGATTAATTGCATGAGCTTGAATGAATAAGGGCTACTGGCACAAGTATTGATGAGAGAGATGCAGGGCTGAGATCCAAACTGGGAAAGCATACTGCCTCTGAATTTGCTGGAAAAAATTCAATGACAGGATGATAAGGCAGATATACTACTTTCATAACTTCCAAGGATGCTTTGCTATTTTAAAAAGGGCGACTTTCTGGAGGAAATAGCCCTTTCATGGTGTTCTCTGTGCAAAGCATTACTGCAAATATTAACACATCTTTGGGTATCATTTTCATATTAAAGTAAGCTCTCTCCCAGTCTGGTTCATCTTTTCAAATGAAAGGATTATTTGTTATTAACTTAGTAATTTTACTTAGTAATGGCTAGTGGGTTTATTTTCTCAAATTAATTCAGCATTGTTAGATGAACATGCCATTTGGTCAATACCAACAACTAAAAAAATTCAGGAGATATATCTTTATACAGTATATATATAATATGTTATCTTAGCATGTCACCCAAAATCTAAGGGTAAAGTGTGTAGTATGGCAGGCACTGTTAAAGGCCATTCTCTCCTCCCTCCATCGCTCAGAAATGGGAAACACATTTGTTGGCATAATCTAAGAGCTGCAACCCAAAAAATGCAACCTCTCCTATATCTAGTTTCTTGTCTTGAGACGCTGACAGGACAAGGGGTGAAGAAGATAGCTGACATGCCGGTTTCTGCTAACAGCTTTCTTCAAGAAGCATTTGAATGGCATTATTACCCAAGCACTGAAGACTGGAGCTAGGAAGTTTCAGATTTTCAGCTTCAAGTGCCAAAATAATTTAGCTGGCTTTGGGTGTAATTCACCTTGACCTGCCATGGGTGAGGAAGTGGTGGCAAGTGCTCTGTCTCAGGCAGTGGAATGCCTTGGGCCACCCAAGATGAATGGAGGCTCCTTGTGGTGCTTTAAAGACAGACAGGACTGCCCTGTGGATTCATAGAGAGTCCAACAGGCTAGAATGCTTTTGTAGAATATGTCCTGATAGTATGTTGTTTTGCAGAGTAGTTGATTTCTTCACTCAGGTCATGCTGAATTAGGCTGCTGTACCATCTGCTCTGCAATGGACTGCCTTCAAGTTCTGCTTATAATGATCAATTGTCATTGCTTGGAAAAATTCCTTTTATGAACAATAGCCCCCAAAGTTCACCAGTCAACAGTGCCATTATAGCTTGGGGATTTGGGAAACGGTTTCCCCCCCCAAAAGTAGTATTTGAATGTTAGTGCCCCGGCAATTTTTTGGCGCATTTAGTAAAGCATTTTAGGTGAGTTCATTCTTATAGACTCAATGTATGTGCATGCTGAGAGGGAACTTATGTTTATTAACAGGTAGTGTTCAAAGCATACAGCTTCTAGTACCTCCTCCCTTCCACCCTACAAGGCTGGCCCAAGACATTTTGCTGCCTGAGGCAACAGAAGAAAACAAAACGAGTTTGTTTGATATCACCACGTAGCATTTAAAACACTCTCTACTTGGTTTAAAATTTATGCAGGCTACACATTATGCTGAGTACTCAATTTATGGACCTTGGAAAGATGGAAGGCTGAATCAGTCCGTTGAGTTTGAAGTCAGATCATGAGTAGAATCTTGACTGCACTACTGCACTTTAACTACTGTGCCACAAGAAGATGGCACTCCCACCATTCCCATTCCTCCTTGCAGTTTCTTCACCACTAAAGGCAGGACGTAACCCTGGGGTTGCAGGGTAGTTTATGGCATTGGGAACAGGTGGTAGTGTGCCCCTTGTTTGCATGTAGAACATCCTGAGTATGAATGGGTGTGTATGTGAAGCAACTAGCAGATGCCTTAATGAATAGATATAGATTGGTAGGGCTGGCCCTACCCTTGGGAAGAGTGAGGCAGCTAACTCAGGCAGAAGATGCTGAGACCAGAACACAGTGAAAAGATGTTAGAAGGAAGGGGTATCTATGTCACACTTCCTGCTAGCAAAATGTCTTGGGCCAGACTTATATAGTTGGAGCACATATAGAAAGTTGCCTTATAGTGAGCGTTTTTATCCTGGCATAGCCCAGTTTAATCCACTCTGACTGACAGTGGATTTCCAGGGTTTGCTGTAAAGAGTTTTGTGCCTCTAGCTACCTATTCCTTTTAACTGGAAATTCTGAATTCTGAACCTGGAATCTTCTATATGCAAGACAGGAGCTGTTCCCCTGCCTCCAGTCACATTTGCTGCCTTAATGCCACTCTGTACAGGTGGACATCTAAAATGAGATCAGACCTTGCAACGTGAAGGGTACATGAAACCTATTGCTGTATAAACCTGAGCTTCTTGTCCTTTCCTGTCTCTTAAAATGCTCTTTGTTTGAGTGTTTTATCCCCCTTTCTCCATCTCCAAGAGTACATCAGTGTTCTGTGACCCACAGAACATGCTACTTTAGTGTACCATTGTGGGTTTTTCCTTTATCCACTCAGGAGTTTTCTCCTGATTTTTGTTGTTGTTGAATCCTCCTGATCCCGCCCCCTCTTGTATATGGCTGGTATCGTTTTACAGTATTTACATAATTGTTCGCATTCAAATTATGAGGTTCCTGTTAGTATAAAGGACAGCTAAGGCTCAGTAAAGGAGAGTTTACTTGTTTTCAGTGCTTCCATGTGCACATCAGTTAAAAAGTGATTTTGCTGCAATTATAATAATTTGTCTTGCAGGATAATCATAAAAGATGCATTAAAATAGCCTTTTGCACTATTGGAAACCAATTCAATTTTCTGTTTTAAAAGTTTTGTTACTGGGCTACCCTCACAGATTCCAGAAGATAATGTAAGACAAAAAGATTAAATCTCATGATTCTTATATATATTATATTTCTACCCTGCCCAAAGGTCTACTCTGGGCCGTTTACAAATTTAAAGACAATAAAACCAATAAGCATATATTATAAATCCAAG